TTCGACCTCAGCTGCAGCAACTTCTTCCTAGAAACATCGCCAAAGGCAAGGGAAGCAAGGGCAAAAATGAACTATTGGGACTTCATCAAGATAAAAAGCTTTTGCACAGCAAAGGAAACAGTCAACAAAACCAAAAGACAACTGACAGAATGGGAGAAGATATTTGCAAATGACATATCAGATAAAGGGCTAGTATCCAAAATCTATAAAGAACTCATCAAACTCAACACCCAAAGAACAAAGAATCCAATCAAGAAATGGGCAGAAGACATGAACAGACATTTTTCCAAAGAAGACATCCAAATGGCCAATAGACACATGAAAAAGTGCTCAATATCGCTCAGCATCAGGGAAATCCAAATCAAAACCTCAATGAGATACCACCTCACACCAGTAAGAATGGCTAAAATTAACAAGTCAGGAAACGACAGATGTTGGCGGGGATGCGGAGAAAGGGGAACCCTCCTACACTGTTGGTGGGAATGCAAGCTGGTGCAGCCACTCTGGAAAACAGGGTGGAGGTTCCTCAAAAAGTTGAAAATAGAGCTACCATATGATCCAGCAATTGCACTACTGGGTATTTACCCCAAAGATACAAAAGTAGGGATCCGAAGGGCTACGTGCACCCTGATGTTTATAGCAGCAATGTCCACAATAGCCAAACTGTGGAAAGAGCCAAGATGTCCATCGACAGATGAATGGATAAAGAAGATGTGGTATATATATACAATGGAATATTATGCAGCCATCAAAAGGAATGAGATCTTGCCATTTGCAACGACGTGGATGGAACTGGAGGGTATTATGTTGAGTGAAATAAGTCAAACAGAGAAAGACATGTATCATATGATCTCATTGATATGAGGAATTCTTAATCGCAGGAAACAAACTGAGTGTTGTTGGAGTGGGGGGTGGGGTGGGAGGGATGGGGTGACTGGGTGATGGACACTGGGGAGGGTGTGTGCTCTGGTAAGCGCTGTGAATTGTGCAAGACTGTTGAATCTCAGATCTGTACCTCTGAAACAAATAATGCAATATATGTTAAGAAAAAAAAAAAGAAGAAGAAGAAGAAGGTAGCAGGAGGGGAAGAATGAAGCGGGGGAAATCGGAGGGGTAGACGAACCATGAGAGACGATAGACTCTGTAAAACAAACTGAGGGTTCTAGAGGGGAGGGGGGTGGGAGGATGGGTTAGCCTGGTGGTGGGTATTGAGGAGGGCACATTCTGCATGGAGCACTGGGTGTTGTGCACAAACAATGAATCATGGAACACTTCATCTAAAACTAATGATGTAATATATGGGGATTAACATAAGAATAAAATTTAAAAATAAATAAATAAATAATGGGTCAAAGAAAAAAAAAAAAAAGCAAGCAAGCGGGATGCCTGGGTGGCTCGGTCCGTTAGATGTCTGCTTTTGGCTCAGGTCATGATCCCAGGGTCCTGGGATGGTGTCCCCAATCAGGCTCCTTGCTCAGCGGGGAGCCTGCTTCTCTCTCTGCCTGTCACTCCCCCTGCTTGTGCTTATGCACTCTCACTCTCTTTCTCTCACAAATAAGTAAATAAAATCTTAAAAAAAAAAAAAAAAAGGACAGGCTAATGTGTGTTCATTTGTGCAGTATGCCCAAGCTATTCACTTAACAGCCACTACTTTTAACTGACCATTGAGGTCTTTTTGGGAGATGAAAAAAACTTTTTATTGACTTAAAATTATTTGCAAAATTCAGTTTCCATATTTGCTTTTATATCCCCTTCTCCACCAAGACCAATCCCAAAATATTTTTTGCACATCATGCAGTCAGCATGCTTTATTTTGGTTATTTAACTCTCCCTAATCCAGGTGTAGGGCTCCTTCTATTTGTCATTAAAATGACTTAGTCCTTTAGTCTCCTTTTTTGGCAATGTCTGGGTCATGCTGATGTTGGTACTGTCATCATTCTCATTTTCATTATCTGAACTTTTAGAAAACATGGTTACAATATTCATAATGTTAAAAATTAAAAAGTCCCATCATAATACAAAGCACAGGGCAGGAAAAGTAAAAGAAGGATTGTTAACATTCATGTTAACAATGCACTTAAGCCATACATGGAGTGCTACATGATGGAGAACTCACTGTAAAGAGTAAATAATGGCTGCCAATATTAGAATCTAAGGGAAAAAGACAGCAATGACTACTGAAGGTGGGAAATCCATCCCAGGGTCTTTTGCACTAAAATGTTGCCTTCAGCTCTGAATTCTGGAATCATGTATGGGTTTTGCATTTTTTCTCAATCTTCTCCATCCACTGCTAAAATCTGGGACTTCTGTGTCCTAGGGAAGGGTTTCCCAAGACTCAGGATGTCTTTCAAAGCTTTAAAAAAAGGTTAACTTCAAAAGAATAACAAACTCATAGTTGATTTCTTACTGGAAATAATGAAAGCCAGAAAACAATGAAATACTATCTTTAAAATGCTGAAAGAAACTGACTTCAGTAACTATTAATTTTTATTTTTCCAGTATTAACTATAATCCATTCTACTGGACTATAGACAATAGAGCTAACTCTATAACCTACTTTAAAAATTAACACAGAAAGACTTAGATATATACACTAAAACTGTGTTTTTAAACAGCAGAAACTCCTGAATGTGTGCAGGGAGAAATATGAACCACAATATTCAGAGCAAAAGTATAACAGAAAAGAAAGGGAAACAAACCAAACTGCTCATAAATATTATTGAAGGTAAATAAACTCTTGACTTCAGTAAAAATGAACTACACTTACATAAATCAACATGTATAAAATTCAATATAATAATGAGGGGAATAAAAGCAAGGCATTCAGTATCATTCCATTTATATAAAGGTTAAAAACAAAGCTAAGCAAGATATTGCTTTAGAACATACATGTATAGTAAAATGGTATGGGAAAGTAAGTGAATAATTACAGAAAACTGGCTTCATCAGGGAGTAAGGAAACAGGCAAACAAGACAGGTGAAGACAGGTGAAGAATATAATAAGGATCTTCAAAAGCACAGTAGATGTTCTATTTCTTCAGCTAGATGGGATATACAAATGTGTCTGTTATACTACTATTCTTTAAAATATGCACTCTTTAACAGAATGATATATTTCATTTGGCAAAAATATAAGCAAATGGACTAATAAGCAGTTTTCAAATAAAATTCACACTTAAAATTCAAATACAGGGGCGCCTGGGTGGCTCAGTCGGTTAAGTGTCTGCCTACGGCTCAGGGTCATGATCCCAGGGTCCTGGGATTGAGTCCCGCATTGGGATCCCTGCTCAGCTGGGAGTCTGCTTCTCCCTCTCCTCCCCGCTCATGCTCTCTCTCTCTCGCTATCTCTCTCAAATAAATAAAAATAAAATCTTATTTAAAAAAATTTCAAATACAATTTTTGTGCTAGGACATATAAATTAAAAGGTATTATAGCATAACCATTACAAATACTGGAGTGTGAGGAATCTTGAGGATTGTTGTGTCCATATTCATGAGAGATATTGGTCTGTAGTCTCCTGAATGATGTCTCTGTCTGGCTTTCGTATCAGAATGACAGTTTGGCAATCTGTGTCTTTCAAGGTATTTGCCCATATCATCTAAGTTGTCTAATTTCTTGTGATAAAGTTGTTTATAGTATTTGCTTATAGTCTTTTTGATTTCCATAGGGTTGGTGATGATGCCTCCTCTTTCATTCATGATTTTGGTATCTGTGACTTTCTTTTCTTTCTTGGCCAAGTTGGCTAAAGGTTTGTCAATTTTATTTTTCTTTTAAAGAATCAACTTTTGGTTTTATTGATTTTCATTACTGTTCTTTTGTTTTCCATTTCACGGATTTCCATTCTGATCTTTACTGCTTCCTTCCTTCAGTTTACCTTGAATTTATTTTGCTATTCCTTTTCTAGTTTAAGGTGAAAATGTGAATTGTCATTTTGAGATCTTTCTTCTTTCTAACTAGGCATTTGAAGTGACATATTTCTCTCTAAGCACTGCTGTAATTGCATCCCATAAATTTTGATACACTGTGTTCTTATTTTCATTCAATTCAAAATACCTTCTAATTTCTTTTTGATTTCTTTTTGACCCAGAGACTATTTAGAAATGTGTTAATTTTTAAAAACTTATAATTTCTCAGAACTCCTTCTGTTAATTACTAATTAATTCTACTATGATAAAAGGACATACTTTTGTATGATTTCATTATTTTTAAATTCAGAGTTGTTTATGGCCTAGCAAAGGGTCTATCTAACCTAGACAACGTTCCATGTAAGCTGTGTATTCTGCTGTTGTTAAGGGAAAATAATGTGTATTCTGCTGTTGTTAAGGGAAGTATTCTATAGATGTGTAGGTTTAATTGGTTTATAGTGTTCTTTAATTCTTGAGTATCTTTGGTCATTTTCTGTCTAATTGTTCTATCAGTTATTGAGTGAGTATTGAAGTCTTCAATACCCACTTATTGTTGAATTGTCTATTTCTCTCTCCAATTCAGTCAGGTTTTGTCCTATGTATATGGAGGTTTTGCTGTTGTGCTTATAATTGTTTTAACAGTTATAAATCAAGGATCAATTGACCCTTTTATCATTATAAAATGTTCCTCTTTTCTCTAGTAATAATTTTTGTTTTAAAATCTATTGTCTAACATTAGTATAGCCACTCCAACTCTGTTTTGGTTACTGTATGCATGGTTTACCTTTTTCCATTCTTTTATTTTCAATCTTTTGTGTCCTTAAATCTAGAGTGTGTGTGACCTTGAATCTTGACTTTGTCACTAGTATTTGCATGACCTTGGCAAAGTTAACTCAATTTTCTAAACATGAGTTTCTTTACCTATAAAATAAGGATAATAATATACAAAAAGATTGTTATCAAGGTTAAATGAGATAATGCTTGCAAGTAGTTGTGCCTAGTATGAGTAATGAATATTTATAAGTATTATAAAAATTATTACTAATGATACTACCAAAGAAGATAAGAAAACAGTAATCAAAATAGAGCCTCACCTTTTCTGATAAATACTGTTCATATATTCCAACAGCAGCTGCTCTTAAAAGACCTTTGGTTTGGTTGGTTTGATGTTTTCCATCTTTCTGACGACTTAATAAAACTTCCAGTTGCTGTTGGGCTGTAACTCGGTATCCTTCCACTGTCATCCAGAAGAAGAGATGTGCTTGACCTCCAGTTTGCTGCATGTAATCTACCAAACAAAATCCATTAACAACATAGATATTAATGGCACACATTTTTGGGTGCATGTAGCCATATGACAAGTTAAAAAGGATTAAAGTTTCAAATACTTAAGACTCTACATTTTCAAACTGTTAAGCAAATGCCTGAGATGAAGAATGCTTACATCACAAATTGGTTAGGTTAAAAAGACCAGTTATGTGAAAAACACAAATGGATGTATTTTTTTTTAAATCTCATTTTTCACGATAAAATTTCTAGGAGATAAAACTGCTACAGAAGGCTTCATCAAAAATAAACTACTTTAGTAACATTCGGCTTCTGTTCTTAATAAAGATTATGAAAATTATAATATTAATGTTCCTACAAATATTAAAAGTAAGGATTGGAATCTTCAACAAGCCATATATTTATGTTTTTGGTCATGAAAATGAAGAATCAAGGAAGGTTACTGAAAATGTTCTCCAGATAAAAAGCAATTTTGATGTATAGTTGACCCCTGAACAATGCAGAGGTTAGGTTAGGGGCATTGACTCACCACGCAGTCAAAAATCCATGCATAACTCCTGACTCCCAAAACCATAACTACTAATAGTCTACTGCTGACTGGAAGCCTTACCAATTATATAAACAGTTAATTAACACATAGAACATTTTGTATGTACTATATTCTTAAAGTAAGCTAGAGAAAAAAATGTTAAGAGAATCATAAGGAAAATATGTCTGTATTACTATACTGTATTTATCGAATAAAATCCATGTATAAATAAGTGAATCTGCACAGCTCAAATCCATGTTGTTCAAGGGTCAACTATAATATTAACAAAATTAGTAAATATTTATATATATTAAAATGATATAAAAATAAAGTCCTTCTATTCATGCACAAAATGATACAAATAAGTTATAAACAATGTGTGTTGCTGATAAAGTACTCTTTCTCAAATAATTTAAATTCATAGACTCTGCTAGAATTTAAATAAGCAATATTTAACAAATGCACATTTAAGTTATAATAAGCATTTCTTTCCTTCTAAACAAAATATATCTCTACCTCTATGATTCCAAAAGGAATACTTCAGAGAATGGAGAGTGGAGGAAAAACATATTTGGCATGCTTAATATATTTAAAATTTAATTATATTTATAATTATTAAAAATTTTGAGGGCTATATTATTTTCATAAAATGGATTTACCCACCCATAAAAAACTGTAGTGCAACATTGTCTACAAGAATGCTGTCCAAGGGGACTGTGCAAAGTTTCCCAAAGTTTGCTGCCAGTTTCACAGTATTTATTTCCTACAGAGAAAAATAAAGGTAGGTTAATACTTCATCTACTCACTCATTAGGTTAAAGATCTCTACATAGATATAAAAATATTAAGCATTTTCTCGTTCATGTGGGTTCCCAACAGTCCCAGCCTAGAGAATTTCCTAGTTAAGAGTTGCTTAGTAAATATGCATTAAAAGTATTATGATAAGCATTCACTTCTTTCATTACAAAATAATTCTGAATTACTAGAATTTCAAGTATTCTCTATCTCTACATATTCCAAATGAAAATGAACATTTTAGAAGGTAAAGGGGATGTTTGGAATGCTTACAATGTCCAAGAATAAATAAAGCCCAACATTTTCAAGTACAGACTGAAATTTATCCACTGAGAGAACAGGAAATATCTCGAAAGAGTAATTTTTCTTCTAACAGAATAAAAACTCTACCATCTTTTATAGAAAATGTGTTTCTTCTCAGACTACCTAAACAGTAAATTATATTTAGTTTTCAAAGTAATAGAGCAAGGTAACTACCTATACATGAAAAAAATTAAAAAATAAAACATGGGTTCAAAATTTAGAGTCTAGGGATGCTGGGTGGCTCAGTTAAACATCTGCCTTCAGCTCAAGTCATAATCCCAGGGTCCTGGGATGGAGTCCCGTGTCGGGCTCCTTGCTCAGTGGGGGGCCTGCTTCTCCCTCTCCCTCTACCTGCTGCTCCCCCTGCTTGTGCTCTCTCTCTCACTTTCTCTCTCTGACAAATAAATAAATTAAAATCTTCAAAAAAAATTTATAGAGAATCTACATGTCAAGCACTGTGCTATGTATATTATATACATTATTCTCCACAACCATCCTATTGGATAAATATCACCCCACTTAAGAGATAAGAAAGCTGAAATCAGAAAGGCTGCCTATGATCACAGAGCTGCCAAGAACGACTCAGTGTTTTTAAAGCCTGCAGCCTCTTCCATAAAACCCTTATGTTCCTGTGTCACCAGTTCCTCTGTATTCCTAAATCCGTATTTCACAATCCTCTATTTAAAAAAGAAAGATCAGAGGTGCCTGGGTGGCTCAGTCATTAAGCATCTGCCTTCAGCTCAGGTCATGATCCCAGGGTCCTGAGACTGAGTCCTGTGTCGGGCTCCTTGCTCAGTGGAGGGCCTGCTTCTCCCTCTGCCTCTGCTCCTTCCACCCTCGCTCATGCACTCTCTCCCCCTTGCTCTGCTCTCTCTCTCTCTCAAATAAATTAATAAAATCTTTAAAAAAATAAAGAAAAGAAAGATCAGGTTTTTCTGAAAGACAGGCTGCCTTAATTAGGGGCAGATCCTAAATTAGATGTAGGTAGTACATAAAGGAGAAGGAAAAGAACTTGAGAAAAGGGGAAAACTTCCTCTCTAATAAGTATTTCCCTTCATATAAATACTGTATAATAACAGATAACTGGCTTAAAATGTCTGGCATAAAGCAACCTGGTGCCAGCACATGTTTTCTCCTAAGTCTTCTTTCTTCAAACTTATCACCTCTTTCTCTTTCCCAGAAGCAGCTCCACATATATGAAATGCAGAAGAGTATTCATTATAACTTTATTTGTAATAAAAAAGATAAAGGGCCTTCTAAGATTTCAAGATGAGTAGTACGGTTATAAAACTTCATCTCTGTGAAAATTCTGACTTTCCTTCCCAAGAAAAAACACTGTATGAGCTGAGCTACTAAAAAGGTAAAGCTTGATACTCAAAAGAATTGACGGGCTTCAAAACAAGATATCTAAATTTTAAAGGGATTTGCTATCAAAAGGTGTTTGAACATTGGGGTGCCTTGGTGGCTCAGTTGGTTGTGTGTCCAATTCTTGATTTCGGCTCAGGACTTTTTCTCAGGGTCCTGGAAGCAAGCCTTGCATTGGGCTCCACACTCAGTGGGGAGTCTGCGTGAGGATTCTCTCTCTCCCCCTCTCTCTCTCTGCCCCTCCCCTGCTCCCACACATGAACGTGAGCGCGCGCGCTCTCTCTCAAGATAAATAAATAAATCTTTTTAAAAAAAGGTATCTGGACAAATACATTTTAAATAATGATGCTGAAAGACCACTAATTCTGAGGCCTAGACAAGGTAAACTAATGAAACAATAAGCATAAATAAAACCGTTTCGTTCTATACTGAATGTGCATGGGTATATAATTTTAAAATACAGTTAACTGAAACAAAGATATACATACATGTACACTCAGGTATATGACAGATGTGGGCCTCAAGTAATGTGAGTTATAATGAATCCAGCAACTAAACTCAAGATTTATAAAAATAAGTCTTCTATTCCTTAAGAAATTTAAATACATTGTAAAACTACAAGCCCAGAGAGTCACAACAAATTTCCAAAATAGAAAACCAGCCAAAAGAAAAAAGAAAAAAAAATTGACTACACTAAAAACTAAGGTAGTAAAAAAAGCTCTTTTCTGTTTGTAAGGCTCAAATCTCTGCTTTTTTGAGGTAAAACCCCTCCAAACAGCTACTTATAATCACTGTTTCTAATTCATCTCTTCCCATTTTCTCCTGGACCAGCTCCAATAAGGGTTTCTCTCCACTACTCCAAAATGCTATTATCAGATCACCAATATTCCCCTGGTGGCAAATCTAATGGTCAATTCTAAGTCTTCATCTTACTCAACTTATTAATAGCCTTTGACATACCTGATCTCTTACTTCTTTAAAAACTTTCTATAGTTGGCTTCTGGAATATCACACTCCCAGGTTTTCCTTCAATTTCACCAGCCACTTACTCTGTTTCTTTAGCTAGATCTTCCACCTTGTCTTAAACTCTAGTAACTATACTGCCTCTGGACTAGGTCCTTGGTTATATTCTTACTTACATTCACTCTCTTAGGTAACTTCATCCAGTCTCTTTACTTTAAATAAACATCTAATAATCCATCACCGACCTTCCCTTTGAACTACAGAGTTTACAAGCTACTGGGTCTATTTGATTGTCAAACAGGGATCTCAAACTAAAACATCCAAAATTTGATTCTCTCTTTCAAACCTCCTCTTTCCTGTATTATCCATTTTAGTAAACAGCAACACGATTCATGTAGTTGCTGAGGCCAAAAATTCTAGGAATCCTCAAATCCTTTTTTGTCCTTTCTCACTCCATATTTAATCTATTAGCAAATCTGTTAGTACTATATCCAATCTCTAATTACTTCTCACAACCTCTGCAGACATCTTACTGGACTAAAGCCAACAGTCTCCTAAATGATCTTTCAGTCTCCATTCTTGTCCCCCGCTGCAACTCCACCACAATCTAAACATCACAAAAGAGCCCAAGTAATTATTTTAACTAATAAGTCAGATCATGTCACTTGCCAGCACAAATCTCCAATGGATTCCCATCACAATTAGAATTTTTTAAAAAATCTTACTATGGTAGATAAAACCATATATGATCTAACCTAATCCCCAAGGTTCCTCTCCAATTTCATTCCTACTATCATCCCCTCTCATTTATTCCATACCAGCCATGCTGACCTACTCTAACTCACCAAACATCTTCCTATCTCAGGGCTTTTGCATATGCTTTCACCTCTGCCTGAAAGATTCTTAAAAAAAAAAAAAAAATTTCTCAGGACTCTCTCATTATTCTATCAGATTTCTCTAAGCTCAAATGTAACCAAATCACTCAGCATCCATCTAAAACATTCTATCCCTCTACTTTGCTTTACTTGTTATTTTTTATATTTACTTGTTTTTAACACTTTTAACATTTTATATTAATTTATTTACTGGTTTATTTTTGATTCTGCAACTAAAACATAAGTTTTATGAAGAGAGAGCTTTTGTCTATTAGGTCCATCTAAAATGGTGCCCAGTGTATAAAACTACATAAATGTTAAATTTTGAATAAAAAATGAAAAGTAAATCAATAAATAAAATCTTTAATTACTGTGGCATTTTACAGGAAGTGTTTTAATCTCTTTGGCTTTAACAAATACTTATTAATACCATAATGTATTAGAGAAATTTTTCCTACAAGTCCTTTTGTGGAGGGCTGCACTGGTTAATATTCCACTTCTTGTCATTTGCTAGAGATATTAGTGAATATAAAGTATTTATAACTAAACATTAATCTGAAAGTACTTTACTTACTTTGCCTGACTGCAATCGCTGTATTCTTGAGTCACATACTTTCTTTACAAATAATAAGCTATTTATTTGATTCTTGATAGTGTTGATATCTAAATACAAACAAATTGATTGTGAGCTAGTGGTAATGTTATTTATGGAATACTTTAAACATGTATGTATTGTAATTTAACATAATAACCACGAACAGAGCAAACAATAAAAGAAATAATCTGAAATTTTATAGTGAAATTATTTAATTAAAATTAAACCATGCCTATTATTTTTACTTTAGAGATAATTACAATATTAATAGCCTCACATTCAGAAAATTATAATGCTTTTATTCTAAGCACATGTTAACATAATAAGATTTAGATTTAGATAAGGTGAAAATAATAGCATAAAATGACATTTAGGTAAATTAAAGTTCTGTGTAAAGATATAGTAATAATTAAAGAAGTACAACATTTCTATACTTAAATGAATTACTTACCATCACCAACTGTATCTAGAGATCGAAGATACTGTAATTCTTCTGCTGCTTTATCTCTGACCGCTTCTAGCTCTCCAATATTGTCACTCAATTTAATAATGTTCATAAAGGCCTCATAGTTGCAATTAGAATCACGGATCTGAAAACAAAGTTTAAAAAACAGGTGGGAGAGGGACTCAGTAAGGAAAAAAAGAACCTTCAGTGCCTAGCACGTGCGAAGTAGGCACAATCTTACAGTAAGTGTTTATGCCAATGCTTTTAAGAAAACAAAATGAAAATCTCTGCACTCATGGTCCCAAAGAAAGGTAGAGGAGTAGACGACGAGATTAGTGGCAATGGAAGGCCAATCTGGTAGGGTACAGTACATGAGGGAGCTTTCACTCTGAGTGGAATGAAAAGTTACTGGAGGGTTTTAAACAGAAGAGTGGCATTCTCTGACCTAAATTGAACAGAATCAATGTGATCACATAAATAACTTTGTTATTTTGTTTTTTTTCCCCCAGCCATGTGCTGTTTAAGAACAGGAATGGGAGTTGACAGTTGAGTTGAATTTAACCAGAGTGTGGTTTCACCAAACAGATAAAGTGAGAGACAAAAAGTACTCGAGGATATTATAAAGTGACTAACCACTCTGACTGCCAACAATACTTAAGTAAAACAGTAAGGGAAGCTACGAAAAGGCAGCAGACTTGGGATACTGTCCATTCTCTATAAGGAGTTGAAGACCTGGGAACTGCAGAAGTCCAGGACTAGGGAAAAACTAGCTAATACGCACATGAAAAGATACTCAATATCATTAGTTATCAGGCATATTCAAGTTAACCACAACAAAACAGCAATGACAAATGTTCATCAGAATGTGGAGAGATGAAAACTCTCAAATGGTGCTAGGGAAGTGCAAAATTAGAATACAACTTTATAAGACTACTCAGCAATTTCTTTCACTTTATGTAAATTTTACTTCAATGATTAAAAAAATGGTAGGTTTTTAAAGACATGATTTTTCTAAGAATACATTAAGAAACAAACAACTGTCCATTTATCTGCTCTAGTTGAAGGTAACAATATGAGTTAAGAAATAAGACTTATCCTTAATTAGTTGCTATTTAAAAAAATTACACACAGAGATGAATAATGCAAATCCATCCATACTATTTTTAGAAATGATTTAAAATTTAAAACTACTCTTGGGTAACACTAATATTTTATAGAGAGAAGATATGTTACTACTAGACTGCACTAAACTTTTCTGTCCAAATAGAAATGAACTATATGGTTAGATACCATTAATATAACTGAACTAAGAATAAGAACTCAGCTCATTTTAATACTTATAATACCAATGTATACAAGGTTTCCCACATGAATAATGTCAAAAGACTGTAAACCAGACAACAAAGTAGGCTAAAGATCCTTTATTGATAAACTCTGTTCTTCTAAATATATTTTCTGATATTGTACTGAAACATGAAATAGGGATCAACTCCTGTTCATTAAATAGCAAAAAGACCGAAGCATCATACACAATAGTAGTATTAATCCAACTCTGGGGAGAACAAGTAAAGATTTGGTGGTTGAATTCCTTTTAGAGCATGTGTTAAATTCCAACCCCCCCAAATGTTTACACCATATATTTAATTATATAGTTAATACAAGTTCAGCAAAAGAAAAATTGAAAGCTAAAGAAAAAATATATAGGAAAAAAATAATTCCTAATCCCAGGAGTGAGAGATAACCATAACATTCTGGTGAACAAGCATCCTTTTCTGTACCACCAGTAAGATTATACAGTATTGTATCCTGATTAAGGTTAGTATAAAACATCCATTTTATTGTGTTATAAAAAAATCTCCTAATACCATTTACCCTTAAAAAAAAACTATTTACTCTTATTTCATTACTGAAATGTTTTTAAATTTTACCTGCTTTCCTATTTCTTAAAAAATTACTTTTTTATTATATAACCAATACTCCCTATAAAGTGAAATATATAAAGAGAGGAAAATTAAAACATTCAGAATTCTTTCTATTAAGATTTCAAACAGTATATACACTATCAGAATTATATAGTCATTAATAAAACTATAATTACTTATATATTTATTTTTAAAAAGCATTATCTACACACACATCACCTTTAGTTATCCTTTTCACATAAAAAATATAAACATCTTGGGCACGTGGGTGGCTCAGTCAGTTAAGCTTCTGCCTTTGGCTCAGGTCATGATCCCGGGGTCCTGGGATCAAGTCCTGCATCGGGCTCCCCGCTCGGCGGGAAGTCTGCTACTCCCTCTGCCCACCCCCCACTCCCCGCCACTCAGGATCTCTCTCTCTCCACTCTCTCTCTTAAATAAATAAATAAAATCTTTAAAAATATATATGTAAACATCTTTTCATATTCAAGATACACTACCATCATTCTTTTTAATGGCTTCATGTACTTACTCTATTGTATCAATATGCCATAACTTATTAAACAAATCCTCCATGTAGAACACTTAAATTGCTTTCAATTTTTTAGTTTTAAAAGCAATGTTGGCATTAATGTCCTTAAATATACATTGTTTCAAACTTACTTATTATCACTTTAGAATAAATTTCATGAGTAGAACTCCTAACTAAAGGATATGCATTCTTAAAAATTTTAATTAGGCAGATATGCATGTTTTTAAAGCTTTGGAAGAGCCCAACAGGACGCTAAAAAAACTGACAAAGGAAAAGAAGAATCAAGTTGTGTGACCTCCATAAAAGGCTCTAGGAACACAAAGCTAACAAAACCATTTCTGCCTGTAGGTAACCCACAATCTGGTGGGAAAGACAAAAATTGCTCCAACAACAACAATAAAACAATGTCAAGGTTGATAATGGCTACTAGAAACAAAGAACAATAAAGTAATTCTTTCCTAAGAAAGCTAGACTGAGTTAACAGAAGACAACTGTGGAGAAGAAATTCTATTTCAAGAAAATGAATCAAAGATCTAGAGATATGTATCAAAGAATTCCCAGCAATAGCCCATTTACAACTCTTTCTTGACTATGAGTTTACTGAGGAAAAGCATATATAATCACACACGAAAATAATTAGACCTAGTAAACTTACTAATCACTAACCCTTTGATATGTCTGACGGATGAGAAAACTATGATTTATAGAAAACTAGCTACTTACACACACACTAAGCAACTTACAGAAACAAATCTAGAACACACATCCTCCCATTCTCACTCCAGTATTCCTTTCACCATACTTTCCTCCACTATAAGGTATAAAAATGTAAAGTACATGCTATTTAAGTAGTTCAGACCACAAGCTGTGTTTAAAACCAAACAGCAACAGCAACTTTTTAAAATACTCATCCTAAACACTCAGGCAGTAAAATCTTTTTTTTTTTTTTTAATTTAAATAAGTAGTAACAACACCAAAATTGTAACAGGATTATCAACAAAATTCTTAAAAAGAATTTGGCTAGTGCATTCAACATATTAGCAAACAGAAGTACTAGAAATATAAAGATTACCTTTAAACATATTTTTACCTAATTTCTTTAATAAATTATTGCTTGATCATCCTGATCTCCAATTACTCTTTCTAAATTTTAAAAAACTGTTTTAAAAACAGAGTTGTAATTTTAGAACGTACGTACCATCCATATGATATATTGATTAATATAATCAGGATCACTGAGTTGATTTATTAATGGAAGAAGAATTCCTCGTGCAAGGATTTCCTGGACAAAAATTGTAAAAAACAAATTTAACCTAATATACTTCTTAAATCACTAGCATAATGTAAATAACACAACGCTGTTACTTAAGAAAGGTATGATACACATAATACTTGATAACCAACACAATATTATAAAAAGATTAACTAATACATCTCAGTTAAAATAAATGAGATGAAGCTACCTATACCAACCTGGATATATCTCCACAATGGCACCTAGAGTTGAGTGGAAAAAAGTAAAAGGGTATCTCTAGTATGTTAGCATTTATGTCAATTTTTAAAGGGCAAAACATGGCACCATACAGATGTATGAATTCCTACATCTATATTAAAAGTATAAAAACAAAGAACAAAAGGAAAAGATACCAATTTTACAATAGTAGTTACCTTCAAGGGAAGAACAGAGCAACTACAGTAAAACATTAACACTGGTTAAATTTGGGTAGTTGGTACATAAATGTCTACTGTATTATTCTCTATTCTTGTCTGTGTTTGAAATTTTTCCTAATAGAAAATAAAATATGTTAATTATTCATCTTTCTCTAGAATAGATCCTCCCATTCTTTATAGTTGTTTATGCTCCTACCTACTAAAATCCTGCTCTTCCTCCAAGGACTGACTACAGAATGAAATCTCCAATCAAATAAACTTTGATCATTTCAGCTGAATACTCTTTTACTTACATGTTTAAAATACACTCATGCCCTGAATTTATGGCATTTGTCACTTATCCTTCTCCATGTAATTGTGTCTCTTCCACTTCTCTAGAACGCTACCACTATCTAGGAACGTTCTGCATACAAATGACATTTGTCAAGTGATCTATTGATTTATCGATCTTCAAAAATATTTACTCAAGGTCATATCCTTAAACATGGCAGGCATTTCATAAATATTAAAGGAATGGAAATAAAGAATTTAGTGCTGATTCTATTAATACCATGTTTTCACCCATTACTAATCTTCATTCTTTTATGCATGCTGATACCTGAATCTATGAAACACCATTTCTTAAGAAAACTGGAAGGCTAAATAACTCAAAGTTTAACAGGATGTTTCACTTTTCTAATTAAAGGACCAGTTTATTTATTCCTTTTATCAAGATCTCTAATTTATATGGTCCATTTTCTGGTATACTTAGCTCATAAAAGGTAGGCTTCACTTTATTTTCCTTTAGAGAGATATTTTATATAAACTCTACTTTTGTAAGCTGTGTAAGTCTCTGAAAACTATTACCCAATGATGAATTAACATTTCCAAAAGGCACTCATGAAGGTTCCAGTAACTTTTTTTTTGTATTATAATTATTTTCTTGTCTTCACATCTTTTAAGTAATCTCTACACCCGATGTGGGGCTCAACCTCACGACCCCAAGATCAAGAGAAGCATGTTCTAACAACTGAGTCAGCCAGTATCTCTTATTTATTTTTTTTTACTAATTAATTGATTTTTAAGTAATCCTTAAGTCAAATGTGCGACGGTTCTGATAACTTTTAGAAGTATCTTTCGAGACATCTTACATTCTAAAATTAGGAGGAATTATTCTTTCAAGATGACTTTTAGCCTCCAACATCTTAAAAAATTATATTATTTACATAATTCTTTCCTTCAAATTATCTCTGGCCACATATGCTCAAATTTTAAAATGTGCTTTGTAAGGAGAAAATTCATAAACAAAACTATGTTTCTTGAAAGTTTCTTTGCAAAGTAAAAAAAACATGTGAATAAACTTAGTGCTTATTAGTCAATGCAATTAGTCAGTCTGTCTTAGAAAATTACTTTTATCTTCTAATTTGCCTCATGAAAGGGTTTGGTTAGTTAAGATGTAATCATATGACTCAACAATTCCTATACAGGTTCTAGTGAGAGCTCTAAATATTCCAAAATAAGTAGCCATTTCCATATAATTTCTACTTTAAGACAAGCACCTGCTGTCAAATATGAAGGCTTAAAAGCTACAAAGTCATCGAGGCCATGAATCTTTAAATAAAACATGGTAATGGACAGAAAGCAGAGACGATTAAATAGCAATTACTACAGTCAAATACTACGATTTGTACAATCCATATAAAGGATCCATATAAAGGAAAGAAGTAAAAACTCTTTTTTTTTTTTTTAAAGATTTTATTTATTTATTTGACATAGAGAGACACAGCGAGAGAGGGAACACAAGCAGGGGGAGTGGGAGAGGGAGAAGCAGGCCTCCTGCCGAGCAGGGAGCCCGATGCGGGGCTCGATCCCAGGACCCTGGGACCATGACCTGAACCAAAGGCAGGCGCTTAACGACTGAGCCACCCAGACGCCCCAAGAAGGAAAAACTCTTTAATCTGTTATTTAATCTGAACAAAAACATCTTTTGGGAAAACTTGAATTACCAACAAAAGAAAACTGATAAAGAATTATCAAGTTAAGAGAGAAAAACCTGAGTTGCTGAATGCAGGATACTTAAGTATACACAATTAGATTCAACCATAAAGATACGAAATACTGGTCTACAATCCACATCAAAACATATTTGCTCTTTAAATAACCCTACTTGTGGGGGTGCCTGGGTGGCTCAGTCGTTAAGGATCTGCCTTCGGCTCAGGTCATGATACCAGGGTCCTGGGATCGAGCCCCACATCGGTCTCCCTGCTCAGCGGGAAGCCTGCTTCTCCCTCTCCCACTCCCCCTTCTTGTGCTCCCTCTCTTGCTGTGTCTCTCTGTCAAAATCTTTTGAAATAAAAATAAATAAATAAATAACCAACCCTACTTGCTTTCAACAATAACCTCATGTAACAAGGCAGGTCATCAGTCACGTCTCGTAAGAGTCAACTACATCTCCAGGAGCTGCAGTAGCATGTGCACCTTCAGCAAGAAGGGCAAATAGGTTTCCTCTCATTAAAACTAATTCTCTGATTGGATATGTGCTATGTGCCAGGCACCGTGACAACCATGAAGTAGATAATAATGATACAGATATGGCCTGTGTCCTAATGGGCCTTAGAGTACTACTGTGGGGAAAAAAGGCATCAAGTAAGTAAACACAACAACCAAATTATAATACTGAAATACGGTAAATGCTTTGAAGGAAAATAACTGTGTACTTGGCTACAGCAATAGGGAATTATGAGGGGACTTGACTGGGTGGTCAGGGGCGGCATGTCTGAGGAAGTGGGATATGAGGGGTGAATACAATTTAGCCAAGAGAATAAGAGGAATCATTTTGACCAGAAAAAGAGGAGCATGAGATGGCCCTACGTTGACGAAGACAGCATCACTGGAATACAGTGACGGCATGGCACAAAGGCCAGAGAGGTAAACAAAGCCACATCATGTATGGCCTTGTAAACCTCTGGAAGAACTCGAGATGGGAAATATTTGCTGGATGGTCACAGCATTTACTAGGATGGAGAGGAGATTAAAAGGCAAGACAGGACATGGAAACAAGAGTAAGATTTCCATTTTGAACATTTAAAGTTTAAAAGGGCTGTGCGTCAATCAAATGGCGATTTCAGTGGGCAGCTGGTCAGAGGCACGTGGAGCTCAGAAGGAAAGTCTGTACTAAAGATATAAATTTGAAAGTCACTAGCACCTGGATGGTATTTAAAGACACAGGAATGGGTGAGCAAGAAGAGGGCCCAGGCCTAAAGAACTTGTATATTTAAAAGTTAAATACAAGAGGAGTTAAAACATGTAAAAATGACTACAAAGGAGACCAAAGGAGGAGAAAAATCAGGACAGCAATGACATGGAACCCAAGTAAAGACAAAATTTCAAGAGGGAAAAGTTTGCCAGCCATGTGAAAGCTGCTGAGACACTGCCCAGCAGTGGCTGTCTAGTGTACCAGGTAGACAAAGATTCTGCTGCCAAACAAATACTCAACAGGAACGAGTACTGTAACTGATTAGCAGTGTCTTCCTTCAGTGCTAGATGTGAATCTAGTGATAGACATGTCAGGTATTTAGTGCCCTTGATAATGGCTAGCCCAAATAATTGTTATTAACAATACATCGTCTATCAGACATTTCCCATTAAAACCAAGCATTTACTACTCAATTCACGGCACCACTACCCTACTAGAGAAGTACACTGAACTCGAGTTAGGTAGGTACTAAGAAATTGTGTGAAATTGCTTTTTAACAACATAAAAGCATAAAAGCACACCTCAGGAATTGGTATCTATTTTGCTGGATGGTAGACAAAAAGATCCTAAGCTTTCACTTTCATATAAATTAGAAACTCTGATCTTACCCATTCAACCAGCATAAGGGTTGTAGCTAGCTAGCTAGCATTTCTCAATCATAACCAGCAATCAAAACAAAAATGTTATTCCTTTACATCTGTATACAGAATTTTATTCCTATATTTATATAGGGGGAATAAAAAATCCAAGACTATTGTTCTTATCCCACTTACTCATTTTCTAATTATAAGAAGCAGAATCTTAGCTGCCTAGTTTTTTTAAAGTTTCTATCCAGAAGTGTTATTTTAATTAGCCTAACTCTAGTAAGTTTATCGGTAAAGCTGTATTAAAATTTAAAACATATTTTTGTTATAACCCAAAAATCCCCATACCTAACTCTAAGTCAGGCAGTTCTCAAAGTTTGTAAAGGGATCTCTGGGTGATGGAAGGAGACAAGCGCACAGTGATATTTTCAGAAAGGACCATGATGGCGTGATGATAGAAATCAACTAATGGAATGTGTGCTTGTGTATTCTTGTGTTTCAAAATTTCTTAGTTTTAACTTATAATACAGTAAATGTTGATAAATACAGCCCATGTAAACAAAAGCTCTTTGAGGTCCTCAATAATTTTTAAGAATTTAACAGGGTCCTGAAACCAAATATTTTGAGAATTACCACGCTAAATTTCTTTATAGCCATTTATCTGATATGAGTTTAAGCTTACCCTGACAAAGTATCGCATGATCTTGTTCTGGAAATCTCCAGGAGGTAGCAATAAATATAATAAGACCTCACACAAATCCCTTAGGAATCCTAGAAATGAAAAAGGTAGCTATAATAACATTAGAAAATATCAAATCTCCACTGATTGTAAAGGCAGAAATAAGTAGTTTCCCAATTATAGCAGCTTATTATTTTAATAATTAATTAGTACAAATCAGTATTGGTTAAATTTTTTCATTATTCTCCAAACAGTAACGATTCATTAATCAAACTAGTATTTTTTTTATTCTGCTCAGCTTTACCTTGTTTTTGAATCACTGAGAAACTTCTATTATCAAAATGTTTTCCCCCTAAACAGTTGTGGTTGTACCACGTATTCTACACTTCTACTACACATTATCTTAGCATACTTAAAAGTTATTTGCATATTTTAAAATATACCTGTAATTCTTCTTTCAAGAAAGAACCTCCACTATCTTGGTAGGTAGTAACAAAAGAAAAAGAGCATGCTCTTCTATTTTACTACTTCCTCGATTTACATGAAAAGTACTGCACATCACTATAACTATTTCTTATACTTAGCTATTATTTCATGCCAGTGCTAATGAAACGGCAATTAAAAATTGAATTGCAGTGTAAATATAAAAAGGAAAGAAGAAAAAAGGGGGGAAAGAAGAGCACAATTTAAAAATTGAAGAAAACAATTTCCACAACTAGAACTACTCTGTAGTTCATATGCTGACACTTCCTGGGAATAGAATTATATAGCTGATCCTGTTAATCAAAAAATGTGCTAAGTAGCAAAGACTCTTTCTGAGAGGCTGCAAAACTAGGAAAAGACAACCTCCTCAGCTAAAGCTTATCCGGTCTAACCTCTCACAAAGAAAAGACAAGTCCATTCGACTCGATAAACTATATTTGAAATCACTACACTCATTCTCTTAGAAAATATTTTAGGGTAACAGGTATGGAGAAGATAAATTACTGTAGACCATAAAAAGTAAATTTACAATTATAAATTGTTTGTGCCTGCTGTATTTTAAAAGAAGAGAAGTAATCTTTAATAACCACCTTTAAATGTTAAAGACAACCTTTAAAAAAGAGAAAAGAATCTGGAAACTACTTTTAAGAGTTAAAAAATAAGATGAATAGTGACACTGTCTATACTATGCTACCTATCCTGTAGGAATAATTTCACCCTTTACCCTTATTTTGTTCCCTGGCTCTGCTAACTTGTCTCTAACCAATCTGAACAGTTACTGTTCTCCAAAGAGTTAAACTGAGAAGAAAACCTTCTTCATCTTTGGGAGAAGTGCACACTAGATCACGGCAAACGTCCTTCTCCATTTCAACTTCAACTTCAAAGAAGGTATCCACAAGATCTTCTGCTGTACCTGCAGAAAGAAAAGAATAAGATGTACAGAATGATAAAGAAAGACAGATTTTAAAGTCCTAATTTTCAAAGGGAATAAAGGTATTACCTTTCGCTTGATCATCTCTCTCTGTTATCTTCTGTTGAGCTTTTCTGAATACTCGTAGGTGTGTGCCAAAATCATCTACAATACGTGTAGTAAAATAAGGCTGCCAGTCTATTTCTTTTGACCTTATAAAAAACACATTAGATAAAAGCATTATATAAATGCTTTTTTAATCAAAAAGTATAAATTCATTTTAATGACTAATAAACATGATTATCACAGAGACTGAATTTATTTACACTGAGATTTTGTTTACTTAATTTCAATTACATCTTAGTCCTCCCTTTCACAAGACCCAAGGTATATCAAATCTAGTTGACGAAGTCTTTGAACAATATTATTTGAAGTATTTTATGTGCCAAAGCTTTAAAATACTAAGTACTTAAAATATAATGAAAAAAATGTTTTTCCAGTTAAATCTAAAATGAGTCTGACACCAGGTATATCATATATTTCTCACCGAGACAGAAGAATACATTAGGGATTCGAAATGTTTTTGTTTGCTTTTAAAAGAGCATTTGAGACATTTCTTGGTTCCTTCTGCACCCTTTCTGAATTCTCTACATTCTTCTCTTTAGTTGTTCAGCCCAAGTTCTGAACCAAATACCTTTGGTATAAGTCTAAATGGTTTCTGTTTGCAGATATTTGCACTTAAAAACTTGACCATTTGAAATAATTATAGTCACACAGAAATGGCTTAAAGAATGATACAAAATACCACAGTACCCATGAAAAAGGTGATTACTAATTTTATTAAGTTACCTATTACTCTATCTTAAAAGTAACAAACCTCAAGAAACACTGCTACTTTAGTACATCAGTGAAACAGTAACAAAACAGATAAGTCAAAAACAGTTTACACCTCTCCTCGGATTGATATTTTTAAGTAAGTATTTTTTTCAGTGCGATTTTCCTTAAATTAGCACTCAAATTAATTTACCTTTTTAGGAACATACCAAATAGATAAAAGAATCTATTCATAAAGATGCTGGGCAACAGAGGAGCAAAGAAAAAGTATACTATACTTCACTATGTTATTTACCCAAACATACATAATAAAGAAGCTAGTGAAGAAATTAACTTGATTATTGTAGCATTTTCAGAGAAAACTTAAAGGTGTTGATGGCATTAAGGAATGTAACAGATGCCTGTTTTGTTTTTTTTTTTAAAGATTTTATTTATTTGACAGAGTGAGAGATAGCGAGAGCAGGAACACAAGCAGGGGGAGTGGGAGAGGGAGTAGCAGGCCTCCCGCCAAGCAGGGAGCCTGATGTGGGGCTCGATCCCAGGACCCTGGGATCATGACCTGAGCTGAAGGCAGACACTTAACGACTGAGCCACCCAGGCGCCCCAGATGCTTGTTTTCAAATAAAAACAGAAGCTATTAACACTCATATTTTTTCAAATGCACACTATAATTTTGTTACATATGTGGGAAGAAAGAGTAAATTACTAAGTACATCAACACAAAAGAAATTAACCTTAAAAAAGTAAACTGCACTCAGGGATCTGAAAAGGGATTAACATTACTTAAAATACTACAAGAGCCATAGTATATAAGCATATACTAACTTTGGTGACAATACTCAGCTTCAACATAAAACCGAAAATAAAAACTTAAACCTAGCAGTCTCTAGAGTCTCCCTTTTATTTATTTAAAAAAAAAAAAAAAACCCACAATCTGTATAAGCATCTTTCAAAAGTCTTTACATAAATTATTTGTAAAAAATCATCCACATCTAAAAATTTTATAACAGAATTCAGTTGGTATAGGCCAATACTCATTTTATCCATAAAATGGTCATTCTAACAAATTTAGAAGAAAGCTGAATACATCTTTCAAATTATATCTGTTTTGTTTCAGGGCAAAATGCTATTTATGTAAGTTATTGAAATTCTCAAACAAAATAAAATTTACTAATTTTAGAAGGCATTTTAAACCCATCTCAACTCATTACAGAGGATAACATTGACAATAAGTGAAAATAAACAAGCAATGCAAATACATAAAATTTATTTTCAATTTAAAATAGGGATTTCTTTGGGGTGCCTGGGTGGTTCAGTCGTTAAGTGTCTGCCTTCGGCTCAGGTCATGATCTCAGGGTCCTGGGATGGAGCCCCGCATCGGGCTCCCTGCTTGGTGGGAGGCCTCCTTCTCCCTCTCCCACTCCGCCTGCTTGTGTTCCTTCTCTCACTGTATCTCTCTCTGTCAAATAAATAAATAAAATCTTTTTAAAAAAATAAAATAAAATAGGGATTTCTACTTTCAATATACAAGTATGTTGAGGGTGGAGAAAACCAGGAACAGCATTCTATATTTCTACCTAAGATCATTATTTTCCCTTTGCTCAACTCAAAGGAACTTTTCTAGGTTAGGAAGAAAAGAACAACAGTAGTAAATCGCTTCCCTTTGTAAATTAGGAAAACATCTACTAACAATTTCTAGTAGTATTTGTCTTAACAAAATTTGAAAATATTCTGATGACAGTGAAGTACTCCCTAAAATTAGAATGTACTGATAAATATGTAATAAATGGAACATGAATAGAAAAATCAATTAAAAAGTCATTCAATTTATATAATAGCCACATTTTCTTCAATTGATCCACATGTAGCTTTCTATTAGAGCTCTTAGTATCAATTATTCTTAAATTATGCCTATAGGCAAGGCTCTTATTTTTTTTAAAGATTTATTTGAGAGAGAGAGAGAGAGAGAGAGAGAGAGAGAGCACACACGCTAGCATGACAGTGGGGGGAGGGGAAGAGGAAGAGGAAGAATCCCAACCAGCCTCCACATCGAGCACGGAGCTAAAGGCAGGGCTCGATCTCATGACCCTGAGATCATGATCTGAGCCGAAATTAAGAGTTGGATGGTCAACCAACTGAACCATCCAGGTACCCTTATAGTCAAGGCTCTTTTTCACTTTGTTTAAAGTATTCCTCCACTTGATTTCTATTCTAATAAAAACACCCGGATTATTACAATAAATGCTATTACCTACACTTTCATTTTATTACTAAGCTTTCCTTTCCTGAACTTAAAGATAGGAGAGCATTATTTCCTATATGACCAAGAGAATAAGTAATATATTCAACCCTACCTTGAAAATCTAAAATTCATAGCAGGCCCCTGAAGCTTATGTATCTTGACAGAATGGTTGCAAGAAATACGGAAGTTAATTAGGAATGCAAGCAAGTAATAAAGTTTTATTAAAGTACAAAAGCAGAAAGCAAACCAGTGTACCTCTCAACATATATTTGCATGCCTTTATCTCCATCCCTAATGCCAGCATTCTATTCCTGGCCTTTTATTTTAAATGGTCTCCCACATCCACCTTTGTCTCCCCTCCATTCTGTTTTCCATAGAGCAGCCAGAGCGGTCTTTTTAAAATTTTGCATGTTTTATCACAATAAAAAAGATGGTAAAATGTAAAAAACAAAAAAATACAAATACAAATATGACAGTACAAAATACGAGATTCAAAACCAGTTCAATACCTCCCCCATCAATCTCCGGGTTAAGCATGAATACTTTCTTGAAGATCTCGCATGCCCAGGAGGACCAGGCTTACTTCCTCATCACCATCAGTTCCACCTTCCTCCTTCCCTTCTGTTCTGCTGACTCACATGCTTTCTTTCTATTTCTCAAATATCCCCCTTCATATCTCAGAGCCTCTGGACAGGCTAATCCCTCTGCCAAGTTTGCTCACCCCTGCCCACTCTCCACACATTTCCCTTCTCTCCCCCACATTGGCTTGACAATTCCCACTTACTTTAGAGTTCATCTAAAATATCTATTCTACATGGCAGCCTTCAATACCCCTCGCCCCCCTCTCTCTCTGCCATATTCCTTCAGACGAGGTATGGATCTCATAGCACCAAATTTTTCATGTTTTATAGCACTTACAACCTACAGTTAAATAATTCAACTGGTAGAGATAAATACAACTGCTGAGATAAAAATCTCAGGAAGCCAGAGACTTCATCTGTTTTATTCCATGCTCATTTTATTCACAGTGGTATCTCCCATGGCTAAATAATGTATTGAACATTGGAAACACTCAATACATAGTGATTTACTGATTCCTCTCTCAGGGTCAAAAACACTCTTAATAGGTCCCTGGAGAAAGGCAACATGAGGTGCATAGGACAGTCTCTTTACTCCTTAAAGTTCTGAAACAGAACATAAAGTGAGGAGCTCCTTTTGCCTCTCTAAATCTCTAAGCTATTTAATGCTAATACCAAAAAAAAAAATGCAGTGAATATCCCAAATATGTGGGCTGGCAATGAGATTTATATAAATTGCTTCACTGGTTCCATCTTTGCTAAGCAGTGTGCAGCTCAGCATCAGTAATGCAAAAAACACACCCAAATCAATTAAGGATTTCTGTAAAAGAACACTAGATTGGCATATACGCCCTTAATTCAAGTAAAAGATTCACCATTTCATTTGTTGTGAAATTCAGCAAATCACATCACTTCCCAGGGTTTGTTTTCTCTAAAGACACTTAGAGCTTTAAGAGTCCCTGATTATATTACCTGAATACCCAACCAAGCATGTGCAACACACACACACACACACACACACACAGTACGTAGGAAACTGGTAAGTAAATCAAAATATTTGACAAAAGAGGGAGTCATGAATATATTTCATTTTAACTAAAATCATACAAATCTTTCAACATAAGACCTTGCATCACTTGCCAAGTGATATTAATGTGGCTTTTGTCTTTAATAAAATATTACAACACTGCAACAGTTATGGTGTCCAGTTTCTTTTAAATGGCATGACAACTAAAGACATTTGTGAACAAATCTGAATGCAGTCCTTCAAGACTTTTCCACCAATATTTCGTTAGTTGTCTTCTGCACACCTGAATCAACTGCAATCTATCAACTAGCTTGAGTAAAATTCCAAAGCAAATGCCTTAGTTTTTACAGAAACTACCTTGCCATTCTCATACTTCTTCCAACTATGTAGGAATAAATTAAGTGATGATTATAATAAAAAGTGTAACTGGGATACATGGGTTCAGAAACAAATACAACTTTCTTTTTTTTTTTTTTTAACATAACTGATTATCTTTCTCCTCTAAATCACACATGTTAAGATCACACCAGG